GAGGCAAAGTTAGAGAAAGGTCTATACCTTGTTCCAGTTTGTGTGCCTCAGGTGGAGAGGGCACATGGTGTTGAAGCCAAGGAAGCCGCTTGTAGCACGCGTTGGAAGGACGTGGAGCAGGTGACGGCGGATTTGCTGCACCTACGCATGGGGCATGCGGGGAAGCAACAGCTTGTGGAGTGTGTGAAGAAGGGGGAGCTGAAGGGTGTGGAGATCAAGGAAGGTGGTGGGCAGCCAAGCAAGTGCCCTGATTGCACGACCGGGAAGCTGCCAAGGACCTCGTTCCCTACCTCCACCTCTCGGGCCACCGCTCCTCTTGAGTTGGTGCACACGGATGTGTGTGGCCCCATGCAAACTCCGGACAGAGAGAAGGGCAGCAAATACTTCATCACATTCCTAGATGACTACAGCCGCCTCAGTTGGGTCACCTTGGTGAAAACCAAGGATGAGGTGGCCAAGGTGTTCAAGCGTTGGATACGCTATGCGGAGAGGGAAGCCGGGGCCAAGGTGAAAATACTACGGTCTGATCGGGGTGGGGAGTACATGGGGAAGGATCTGGAGTCTTTCCTTGAGGATAAGGGCATCACCCACCAACTTTCAGTTGCCTACACGCCGCAGCAAAATGGGGCAGCGGAGCGGCTTAACCGGACCCTCATTGACCTTGCCCGAGCCATACTTGCTCATGCGCAGCTGGACCATACTTGGTGGGGGGCAGCAGTGCAATATGCCAACTGGGTCAAGAACCGGATGGGCAGCAAGGGGCTAGGGGGCAAGAGCCCATACTTCATGTGGACCAGGAAGGTGCCTAGTGTGTCCATGGCACGCGTCTGCGGGTGCATGGCGCAGTACAAAGTGCCCGACCAGCAACGGAGGAAGCTGGATCCCAAGGCACAATGGGGCATTTTCCTTGGTGTGTCGGAGAGGAGCAAAGCTTGGATGTTGTGGAGTGTGGCGGATCAGCGGGTGGTGGAAAGCCGGGATGTGGTTTTCCATGAGGGGCTGAGCTACAAGGGGTGGAAGGAGCATGGTGCTAGTACAGTTGGGAGCTCCCTCCAGGATCCCTACACCTCTTCCATTTTTGAGGGGACATGGGAGGACCCTGGAGAGGAGGTAGAGGAGCAGCAGGAGGAACACAAGGCAGCTGCACCTCACCATGAGGATTCCCCAACCGCTGGTTCCACCCCTGTTCCTAACAAACTAGCCCATGAACCGCCGCAGCCTCAAGAGCAGCAGCAGCAGCAGCAGCAGCAGCCACCACAGCAGCATACACCGCCTATTGCTGTGGGAAGGTGGCAGCAACTATTGCAGCAGCAGCTGTCCAAGTCACCACGGTCCCCCATGAAGAGAGTGACTTGGAAGGAGAAGCTGCAAAGTTTGGAGCAGGGGGAGGCATCACCTCTGCGCCGCACCACACGCATCTCCCGGCCACCTGACAGGTTCACACCAAGCGCACAGTATGCTTGCATGCATGATCATGAGGTGCATGATTTGGAGGAGTGCATGCTTGTGGATGCTGAGGGGGGTGAGCTTGGGCTTGATTTTTGTCTCATGGGTCAGGTGCATGAGCCTAAGTCGATCAAGGAGGCCTTGTCCCGTCCTGAGTGGGTCGAGTCCATGCGTGAGGAGCTTGAGTCTCATAGGGTGAACGAGTCCTTTGAGCTGGTTGATCCAGCTTGTGTGCCACCTGGAATGGAGGTCTTGAGGTGTCAGTGGGTGTGGAAGTATAAGCACCTGGCTGATGGGAGTATTGAGCGGCCTAAGTCCAGGTTGGTGGCCATGGGGAACACTCAAACACGAGGTGTTCACTATGACGAGGTATATACCCCGTTGGGTAAGCCTACTACCCTGAGAGGATCCCTTGGGATGGCAGCATCCTCGGGGTCTCACGTCCATCACATGGATGTGACCACTGCCTATCTTCATGGGGTCTTGAAGGAGGAGCTTTACATGAGGCAGCCCCCTGGCTTTGATGATGGGTCAGGCAGAGTATGCCGACTCATAAAATCAATCTACGGGCTGAAGCAATCTCCAAGGCAGTGGTACCTCAAGTTTGATGAGGCGCTGATGGATTTTGGCTTTGAGAGGTCGGAGTGTGACCTCGCCTTGTACCACTTGGTGAGGCATGATGGCAGGTTGTCCCTCTACCTCTATGTGGATGACATTCTGCTCATCTCTTCGAGCATGGGTTTGCTGGACGAGGTGAAGGGCCTCTTGTCCTCTCGTTTCCGCATGAAGGACTTGGGGGAGGCTAAGTACTATTTGGGGGTGCAGATTGAGCGTGATGAGAGTGGCATCTTGATTCATCAGGAGAGGTACATTCTCAACATGCTTGAGTCCTTTGGGCTATATGAGGCTAACCCCGTGCGTACCCCTCTCCCTACAGGGTTCGACGTGCATGCACACGCTGAGGAGCCCTTGCTGAGAGATGAGCTGGTTCGGCTCTATCAAAGCATTGTGGGGTCTCTCATGTATGCAAGCACGACCACACAGCCCCAGATTGCTTATGCAGTGTCACAGCTGTCCAAGGTAGTGTCTTGTCCCAAGGCATTTCATCTGCAGGCTGCTAAGAGAGTGCTAAGGTACCTGAAAGGTTGTGTCAAGTCAGGTATCTTCTACCCCGCACACAGCAAGCCTCAGGTCGAGTTGGTGGGCTTTAGTGATGCTGATTATGCTGGAGATTCAGCTGATCGCAAGAGTCACACCGGCTATGTCTATTGCCTCAATGGTGCAGCCATCTCTTGGCAGAGCAAGAGGCAGCCGGTGGTTGCATTGTCCACCACTGAGAGTGAGTACATCAGTCTGTGTCAGTGCATTCAGGAGGGTGTGTGGCTGAAGCGTTTGTTTGGGGAGTTTGGGCATGAGTTTGCTGGTGGTGTGCCTGTGTTTGTGGACAACCAGTCTGCCATTGCCCTTGCACAGAATGCATGCTTGCATGGCCGCACCAAGCACATGCAGGTTCGGTGGCATTTCATCAGGGAGATGGTGGCTAGTGGCGAGGTGATCCTCCGGTGGTGCCCAACCGACCGTCAGGCAGCAGACATACTCACCAAACCCCTTCCTTTTGAGAGGCATGGTGTGTGCATGTCCTTGATGGGGATGCAGCCCCATGTTAGCATGGTGCCTGAGCAGGATGTGGGAGGATTGGTGCTTCTCTGCCTTGACGACCTCATGCTGTGGATGGCGCCCCTCCCTGGGCAAGGGGGAGTGGAGTGAAGGATTTTGCCCAGTGGTGTTCAGCCACCTCCAGCACGAGCAAGGGGGAGTGTTGATTGCGTAGGTGGTAGTGGTATTTTGCTCTAGCTGGTTGTGGGCTAAGGGTTTGGGCAAAATGTGGTGGTTGAACTTGTTGCGGGCTGGATTTGAACTCGCACCTAACAAGCACCAACAAACCTTTGTTACCAACTACAACACCTTTGGTGTTGCTAGTTTGGCACTTTAAGGTGTTGGAGATTGTTGTAGGGCGAGGGTTGGGTTGGTAGGGTTTCACCAACTCGTCACTTTTCAGATCTGAACTCTTGCTTATGTCATTCCTAGATCTAATCCATGGCTGCCAAGTGATTCCGCCAGGATACCCCGTCGCACATAAATCGCGATAGCGATCGGCCTAGATCTTGGTTGAAGGCATGCTTTACCATTCTGGAAAGTAGAGATTAAGACCTTTCTAACGCGTACTTGCTCATTGTTCTAGGTTATCTGAGCTGCTCGCAATGTTTCGTCGAAGTCGGCGGACTTAATCTCTTGTTACGCTCTCCAGATTCGCACGCTTTACGTCAGGAACAGTAGTCGAGGCGAGCGCAAGTGGTAACGGTGTGCTGTTGAGAACTGTTGGCGGAAACAATCGAGGCCCTTCTTACGAAAGTGCGTGTACATCCTGGAAATTGCGGCTGCGCAGGTACTCAGTGAGGACGGGGTGGTTTTCGATTCTGTTCAGGGGGACCCAAATGTCTTCAGTGGGCGTGCGATCTTTCCAGCCGATCGGAAAATCGATCCTGCGAGCTCCCCTTGGATCATGAACGCGGTGGCTCAAGTTTTTTTCGAGCATGATGATGGGCTCCATTGGCAGTCGTATGATGCTGGCTGGGCAGTTGCGAAGCAGTTGGCTGGTGGATGGTACGTAAGGGCGAAGCAGGCTGACGTGGAATGACGGGCTGGCATACCAGTCAGCAGGGAGGAGGATGTGGGCGGTGATGGGTGTGATCATATGGCTGATGCGAAATGGCTTACAGTATCGAGGGGGGGGGGGGGGGTTGGGAGCGACGTGCAGGCGGAGGTTTTGGGTGTCGAGTAAAACCAGATCGTTGGGGTGGTAGGTGACGGGTCGGCAGCGGCGGCCGGCGTTGCGTTTAGCTTAAGTGTTTGATTTTTTTATTGCGTCAGCTGCCCGGGTCCGTGTTGCCTATAGGATTTCTGCGAACTGCTGCGCGAGTGGTACTGGGTTGTCGGGATTCGGGGTCATGGGTAAGGTGGGGTAGAATGGTGACTGTTGGGTTGTGGCGGATGGCGAATTCTTGTAGCGGGTTCGATGAGTGGCAGTTGCTGTTCTTGTTGATTACAGAATTTTTTTTTTTTTTTTTTGTAATTCAATCTGCCGGTTTAAGGTTATGTTTCAGGTTCTGTAACTGTAGTTGAATGGAGCAGCGAGCCTGGTATAACCAAGGTGAAGTCTAGGCTGGTCTCGACCAAAGGGAGCAGTTCTTGGTGTTGAAGGAGCGAGTTTGAATTTTTGGTTTTTGAGTGAGTTGTTTTGAAGGTTCTGATTGGCTGCCGTTCAATATGGTAGTTTGGTCATGAGTTCGAGCGAGCAGCTGCTTGTGCTGCCACCATTTAAGGAGCGAGATCGGTCCTTGTTCGTGCAGCGCGTTCATTAGCGTGTTCGTTAGCTTATTGGTTAGCGTGTTCGTTAGTGTGTTCATTAGCGTGTTTGTTAGCGTGTTCATTAGCGTGCTCAGTAACGCGAGCGCCACATGCTTGCGAATCGTTTTTCAGCGCCGATGGGGAGATCAACGAGATTTCGAGTAAGTTCGGTTGCTGAAGAATATTAGCAGCGCTAATAGTTCGGATGTCAACCCAGCCGCCTCATTCACGATCCATTGCTGCTGTTCAGGCGTGCGCGGCGTGTTCCGTGCCTTGACAGCAACCAAATGCTCCTGGTGTAGCACGGGGGGCTGGAAGGGATGAACAGGTAAGGGAGGTAAGATTAGGAGGTCCGTCACGTGCCATTCAGATGACGATGGTGCTGAAGGCGCGCAGTTGGCATATTTCCTCACCTTTGCAGCATAGCAGATGCTGCACGGCATCCGCGATCCATGCGAGAGTGTGCAACTGATCTTGCCGCTCTCGGGATAGTCGCACACCCAGGCGTACAGCAGTGGCCGCACTGTTTGCCAATCGCCGAAAGGGTCCTTGAGACGGAAGCCGCTGCGAGGAACGGCTAGAGTGGGAACAGCAACAGCCAGGACGACTCTGTGCATCAGCGAGGAGGGGCAAAGGGTAATGCAACATACAAAAACGCTGCGCACGCTATGCTGTTGCTACGGTGACGACATAGCATGACGGAAATCGAGTACGGACCTGTCCATGCCATCAAGAAGCGGCTGCAGCACGGTGATGACGCATCGCTGGAAGAGCATCACCTTCTCGACGGCAGTCATTGCAGAAGGGGGGATAGGAAGGAGAGCAAGTAGCGTGTGCCCGGCTTTCCCCCATCGCTTGGCCTGGGAGATGTTGGCAAGCGTCATCATGAGCGGCCACGCCTTCTTCCGGCCGTTGTTGCTCATGTGCGTCACATCTGAATATAGGATGATACCCCCCACGACTTCGGACCATCCGAAGTGTTCCTGCATTGCACGACAAAGACGGAAACAACACACGGTCAAACACCATCAAGGTAAAGTGTCGCCAGGCGGATTGAGCCTGATACAAAAAAACTCCCCACGAAAATGACGCACATTAGCGGACACATCAGCGCATCAACGGACGCATGCGCACGCGTGTGTTTTTGGGTGGCGGCGGGGTATTTACATACCTGAGCATCGTTCCACCACGTTCCTGTTTCTGGCGTGGTATAGCGACGCTCGCCTGTGTCAGGGTCCTCATTAACACGAGCCTTGAGCTTGAAGGCGGGTGCGTTGTTGGTGTGCCCAAACAGTTCAGCAAACGCCTGGAGTGCGGGATCAAGAGCGGGAGAGAACCAAACCCTGGTTTAGTGGCGGGAGCGTTTCACGGGCCAGATCGCACACATGCCTAACAAAGGCAACATTCCCAACAAGCCCGAGCGATGCTGGTCGCCACCGACATTTCGATTCGCTCGGGTTTTCGCTCGGGTTTCGCCACGTCACACCCACCCACCCCATGCCACGTCACCCCCCCACCCACCTGACACGACCAGCATCGTCACGCGCCACTCCCGTGTAACCTTCCAGGCCGCCACGTCAGCCCCAAGCCTCACATCCCGCCACGTCACACCCTCCTGCATCCGCCACGTCAGGGAACAACAACCAGGCCCACGTGCCACGTCACACCCACCCACCCCATGCCACGTCACCCCCCCACCCACCTGACACGACCAGCGTCGTCACGCGCCACTCCCGTGTAACCTTCCAGGCTGCCACGTCAGCCCCAAGCCTCACATCCCGCCACGTCACACCCTCCTGCATCCGCCACGTCAGGGAACAACAACCAGGCCCACGTGCCACGTCACACCCACCCACCCCATGCCACGTCACCCCCCCACCCACCTGACACTTGTCGCCTCGTCCCGCGCCGCTCCCATGTAACCTTCCAAGCCGCCACGTCAGCCCCACCCCTCACATCCCGCCACGGCACACCCTCCTGCATCCGCCAAATCCACCAACGACCATCCCCACGTGACACGTCACACCCACCCTCCCCATGCCACGTCACCCCCCACCCACCGGACACGCGTCGCCTCGTCCCGCGCCGCTCCCCTGTACCCGTCCAAACCGCCACGTCAGGCCCAACCCTCACATCCGCCCACGTCACACCCACCCACCCCATGCCACGTTACCCCCCACCCACCCCATGCCACGTCAACCCCCACCCACCTGAAGGCTCTCGCCCCGTCATGCGCCGCTCCCTTGCATCCGTTCAACACCACCACGTCATTTCTCAACCCTCACCTTTTTTGCCACGTCACACGCCCTTGCGTCCGCCGCCTACACCAACAACCCAACCCACTTGCCACGTCGCACTCAGAGATCCGAAAGAGCCACGTCAGCCCCACTTGTGGAGCCGCGTGTCGCCCTGCACCGCTCCCGCGCACCCTTTCCAACCGCCACGTCATCCCCAACCCTTCCCTGGTTGCCACGTCAACCCCAACCCGCCACATACCGGGAATGGGTTGGTCTCCCGAAGCACAAGCACACGTGCCCTGTCCACGGCACTCATCGGCGGCGGGGTACCAGCCATAGGCACCACTGCAGTCCCCCCGGCATAGCTGGCAGTTGCTCCACGACGCAGGCCGAGCTGAGCAAACATGACATACATCTCAGACCGTAGCTGCTGGAACTCGTCTCGTGTAACAAACTGCCCATGCTCTGCACCTTCGCCCAGCGCATCCATGACATCCGGAAAAGGGTGTGTAGAAACCCCTCTCTGGCCAAGGGGATCAACGTCTTCAGCAGCAGCCCCGTGTGCCCTCACACTATCACGCTGGCGGGGAAAGGGAGGCTCAGGGAAGACATTGGCAGAAGTGCTTGGTTGATGCCCGCGCGATGGACCAGCGAGGGGGGAGACCGCCCTGCCCCGGACAGGAGAAGCGTGTAGTGGCCGAAATGGGTAAGAGGGAGAGGCGAGTGGGGAGTGCGTGACGGGGGCTGGTGGAGGGGATTCGGATTCCTCTCCTGTAGCCGCGCCGGGTGCAGTGACAGCGACTTTGCTCGGGCCGGAGTATGGCGTGAAGAACCTTGGTGCTCCTGTGGATAGCGGTGCCACACTCGCTCTTCCGGCCCCTTTCGTTAGCTGCATCCGTTGCACGCTTACCGGTGGCCCAATGCCTGTAACACGGGGGGCTGAGAGTCACACGGAGGATGAGCACGGAGATGGTGTCTGTAATGTACATTTGGACACATGCACGCAAACGAGTAACCGCATGATTCAGACAGGGGTGTAGCTGGGAACTGTAGTGTATAGTCACGCCTTACCCGGTTTAGCCGATTCGTCAACCTTCTCCTTCCCTGCGGCGAGGAAACACGGGTGGAACACGGTGTTGTTAGGGTCTGTTCATCACAAACCACGGCAGCTATGCCATGCGTTTGTGACACTTTGCGTACCTCGTTGCTGTCCCTTCGGTTTTGCTGCCTGCTCCTTATCGTTGCCCCCTTTCCGCGGTGTGCTTCGGCGGGTGCTGCCTCGTTTACGGGCAGGTTCCTTCTTTGCCGAACCTACAGGTACCCCTTTCGCGCGCCTTCCCTTTCCTTCTCCATCGCCTGCCCCACCCTGTCTCCCTTGCTTCCTTCCACCCCGGTCAGTTTCTACCTTCACTTTACGCACCTTCGATTTGCCCGCTGGGCCGCCACGCATTGCGTCAACCGCCCCGCGTTTCCGGGATTGACCAGACCGGCCCCCCACCTTCCCTGTGCCACTCCCCCGTCTGCCTCGCGCGCCCCGTCCTTTCCCTGCCGGCCCCTCCTCCTCCTCCTCTTCCTCATCCGCCCCTTCCTCCATCTCCTCTTCCTCCACGTCGTCCTCCTCCTCCTCCTCCTCCTCCTCCTCCTCATCCTCCTCCTCTTCCTCCTCCTCCTCCTCCTCCTCCTCCTCCTCCTCCTCCTCCTCCTCCTCGTCCTCCTCCTCCTCCTCCTGCTCCTCCTCCTCCTCCTCACTCTTTTCCTCGTCAAGCTCGTCATCCCCCTCATCGTCCTCCTCCTCGTCCTCATCCTCATCCTCATCGTCCTCCTTCTCCTTCCCCTCGTCGCCATCCTCCTCCTCCTCCTCCTCCTCCTCCTCATCATCGTCGTCCTCCTGCTCATCCTCGTCCTTTTCTTCCTCCCCTGCATCCTCGTCCTCCTCCTCCGCATCCTCCTCGGCCTCCTCCTCCCCATCCCCCTCGTCCTCAACATCCGCTTCACCAGGGCCTTCTTTGCCGCGCTTCGGCCTCTTCCCCCTCGAGGCTTGCTTGCCTCTCCGTCGCTAGATGGTTTCCGTGGACCGGGTCGGCCCTTTTGCCGCAAAGCATGATCTGTCGCCAAGCCACTTGGCTCCGTGGTGCCTCGCGTTGTCCCAACTTCAGCACCACCGGCGTCGTCACCGCTGGCTGTCGTCTGCCTCCTCTTTGCGCGTATGGGGATGTCCTCGGCCACGGGGGTGTCATACTCCTCCTCCCCATCGCTCTTCCTCTGCCTACGCCTCCCGCGTCCCCCAGAGGGAGGAGATCCACCGACGTCGGCAATGTCGTGTTTCGGCTCCTCCGTGCAATCGTGCGCGGCATTCTTCTCCTTATCTATCACTGCAGCAGATACTTCGACCACGGGCGTGGGGAGCAGCGTCATATGCTGCTGTGATGCCTCTGCCACGGACACCACAGTTGCGGCCTGGTCATCGCCGGGAGCCTCGCCGTGCTTTCCTCCAGTCGCCAAGCCCTCTCTGTCCCCCGGCCGGACGGCAACACTCACGCCGCCACGCCCAGGGTCTTCGTTCCCACCGATGGTGCCGTCGTCAGAAGGACCGGGCTCGAGGGCAGCAGTGGCAACACCCGCATCGCTCTTCACGGCCGAAACACGCTTGCGTGCCGTTGGTTGCTTCCCCTTGTCCCCGCCGCACGTTTCCTTTGATTGGTTTGCGCGGCGGCCGCTTTAGTAGCCCTAGATCTGGCCCCACCCTCATGGTCGGTCTGTATCGACATCCGCCGTGTCGTGCGTCGTTTTGCCTGCTCCTTCTCCTTTTCTGTTTGCCGAGTTGCACGTGTCATGAGGGTTGTACGAATGCAAGTTATAACTTGCGGGATTGTTTAGCCAGCTTTAGAAAATAGCCGAAAGGATTGTTACTAATTTACTCCGTCCTGGTCAAGCCAATACTATCTCACCCTAAATCTCAGGTACGGTTACAACTGAAGAAGTAGCTACTAAGCACATGGCGTCAGCCCTTTGCTTCGTCGCTACTCTGACTCACTGGCGATCTGGAAACACCTGTGTTCAGCATCGAGCGGCGTCAAGGTAGTGGGTATGAGGGTGACGGAAGATGGTGAGTGGGGCACGACGGTCGTTGGGGTGGTTTGCGAGTCTAGAGAGGGGACTGTAAGCAGACAGCCACAATCGGACGGTCTACGATTAGCCACCCGAGGAATAACCCACTAAACGCGGGATCACAGCCGCTGCTTCCGCGGCGAATGTCCAGCTTGGCTGGTCCGGTCATGGGGAGGGGGGTCGTTTGAGATGCGTCGGCCAATCAGCGCCGCTCGCATCAATCTCCGCAGAATCTAGTACCGTTTCGACACCACCAATCATCGCATCCTGCAAAATACAGTGCCAATGTGCATTGATCAAATTTAAACATAGGAGCAGAATACACTTGCAAAGAACAACTAAAACAATTTGAATTGAACTTGGCCGCTTGTGGTGTCATGTTGTGTTAAGTCTAGTGAGTTCATTTGGCATAGGACACGCTCTTTGACCTACCAACTCGTGGACTATGGAATGCTATACTGAGCACACATTCATGGTTGGCGACGGTGCGTTATCGACAGCGCTGTTCCAACGCGGCGACGTTGCAGCGTTCGCAGACATCCAGGGCTTGCGCGAGATGGTGAATCCGTTATGGAATGGTGTTGGCTTGGGCTCTATCCTTGCGTGGGCCCTCGACATGGTGTATTGAGGTTGTGGTATGAAGCACAGGTCCAACGCACAAGCGAGGGTGCGTTATCGATATTGCTTTTCCAACGCGGCGACGTTGCAGCGTTCGCAGACATCCAGGGCTTGCGCGACATGGTGAATCCGTTATAGAATGGTGTTGGCTTGGGATCTATCCTGGGTTTAGGGCCCTCGACATGGTGTATAGAGGGTGTGGAATGAAGCACAGGTCCAACGCACGAGCGAGGGTGCGTTATCGACAGCGCTGTTCCAACGCGGCGACGTTGCAGCGTTCGCAGACATCCAGGGCTTGCGCGAGATGGTGAATCCGTTATGGAATGGTGTTGGCTTGGGCTCTATCCTTGCGTGGGACCTCGACATGGTGTATTAAGGGTGTGGAATGAAGCACAGGTCCAACGCACGAGCGAGGGTGCGTTATCGACAGCGCTGTTCCAACGCGGCGACGTTGCAGCGTTCGCAGACATCCAGGGCTTGCGCGAGATGGTGAATCCGTTATGGAATGGTGTTGGCTTGGGCTCTATCCTTGCGTGGGCCCTCGACATGGTGTATAGAGGGTGTGGAATGAAGCACAGGTCCAACGCACGAGCGAGGACGCGTTATCGACATCGCTGTTCCAACGCAGCGACGTTACAGCGTTCGCAGTCATCCAAGGCTTGCGCAACATGGTGAATCCGTTATGGAATGGTGTTGGATTGGGCTCTATTCATGCATGGGCCATCGACATGGTGTATTGAGGGTGTGTAATGAAGCAGAGGTCCAACGCACGAGCGAGGATGCGTTGTCGACCGCAGCGTCTAAACAGGCGACGCTGTAGCGGTCAGGCCTTGGGTGTTGCGCAACAGGGTGAATCCGTTGTGGTACGGTGTTGGATTGTCCTCTAGCCTTAGACAGATATTCAAGTAGGTGCCTCTAAGGGGTATGAATGAGAGGCCCAACGCACAAGCGGCGATGCGTTATCGTGAGGGCACGGAGTTCTTGTGTACTTCCCGTATGTAGCCAGATCACACAAGAGATGAGAGGATATGGTGTTCAGACTGTCACGTTGTCAACTAGGGGTGGATATCGAGCAGGTCTTTTCATATGACTATGTCCTAGTTATCAACAAAGACTTTACTGTGTAGAGAAAAAACAATTCCACAATGTACTATCATTGTATTTGGGCTATGGTCAAGCGCAACACTATGCGCTCACTTACGTGTGCGCGATTTCCCCCCTATAATGCTTCGCGACTGAATCACAGATCCAAACGGATCTCTTCCCGCTCTTCCTCATCCCACTCGACTCTCATGCACCAAGGGTGCGTGAATCCACAGGCACGTCGTTCTCACCATGCTCGCAACGCACACACACGACCCACCGTCTTAAGATCAGGCGCATTTCCCGCTGCTCACGACGTGGTCTGTCTAAACGGGGGCGACACGCCTTGTAGGGAAGACGATCCGTGCTGTGAGCGGTCTGTACCGTGCCTTGTCACGACCGCGCGGCTCGAACATCGTTTGCCAATCCCAAACATCGTTAAGCGGCCCGCTCAAGTGCCAGTCGTGCAGTGATACAAGCCGCCTTCGACAGTGCGCGGTTTGGCGATGACCTGGTTGCATTAACAGCCTTCTTGAACGGTGTACTTAATGCCTTCTCAAGCTTCCCACGACGCTAGTTGCTTCACAGGCCATTTCTCAACACTTAGACAGATCCGTAAAGCATGGGCTCCTTGCCTGGCGTCGTCTGCGAGTTCTGCAGTAGATGGTTCCCCAACGCCCAAGTTTATGGCGGTCATAAGTCACGGCGGACCCCTTGTCAAGGCCTTTCCGCCGTGGCAAGGCCCTCGCGATCTGCACCGTCAGCCGGTCTACACGCACTGCTATTCGTCCACGACATTCTGTCGGACGCTCCCGCTGCTCCCGCTTCCCCTACCGCGTCTAACACGTCCAACACCGACGGTGTGAATGGTCCTCCTCGCGTCCCGGTAGCTGACGAGGACGCAACACCCTCGGCTGTGAACGTGGGGGCTCCTGAATCTGAGCATCAACCGTCACCAGAAACACCTGCAGATGACACGAGTGAGCATCAGGGGTGCCGCCCTGGAGTGAGTCACGCGGCACCGCCGACAATCATTTCCGGGGAGAGCAATGCGACGCCCCTCAGTCCGATTGCGTTGAAGCTGCTGCATTTCGTGAGGCGCGTAAATGGCGGAATGGGCATGGCGGAGATCGACATCAATGGCCTGCTTCAGCTCGTGGTGGAGCCCGGCCTTGCGCCTCTTGTGATCTCAGAGATCCGGAACTGCAAGGATCTGGAGCGGTTCGAGATGGAGCGCTTGGTAGGGCTCAATCGCGGATGGTCAGTGGCGACCTTCGAGTTTGAGGGTCATCCGCCACAGCGCCTCCTCTTCCAGAACTCCGCGCAGGTAAGCCGACTCTGGAACCGTGGCACGTGGCGAGCTGCAGTTGAGTGATCGAAAGCAATGCTGATCGCCACCGACATTTCGATTCGCTCGGGTTTTGAACGGACTTCATCGCAATCGTTCGAGATTGGAGCGAAGTGAAATTATCAGATCGGCACCGTCAACATTGTTCGCGCGCGAAAAGCGAAATATTCTGGCGACGCATCGAGTGTGCGCCAGGTCACGAAGGGAATGGGAGGGAACTTGAAAAGCTGATCATACTACAAGGTGTGGATTTGAAGCACCTAGATCAAGATAGGAGTAGAATGATTTAGCTTAGTATAAAATTGTTTGTCTTGTTTTTGTTTTTCTATACAACTTGAGTGGATAGTTTTCCTTGCACTACTGCAAGCACGTCGCCGACTCCTAGAAAGCCAGCTACGCCAAAGAAGAGACATTTGCTATTACACTCTTGCTGCTGCTACAAATCTCTCTCTACACAGCTCAGACCCTTGTATAGGGGCTGGCCTTTGGTCAGGCACCCAAGGACCCTCGAAGGTGACCCTGATAAAAGTTTACAGCATCGGATAAGGTTGATAGTAGCCGGTTACATACGTTCTTAAGACTAACAGTTCTCACGTGGCCGGGTCGTCGCACGTGGCTTGGATGAGCTGTTCCATGGTCTGGTTTGTCCATTCTGTCTGTCTGTTGGTCTCGGGGTGATACGAGGAACTGAGCTGTAGCCACTCGCGTGCCGAACTGCTGCCACAGGTTCCGCCAGTAATTGCTGGTGAATGTTGTGTCTTGGTCGCTAATGATTGCTGCTGGTATCCCATGCAGTCGGACGACGGTGGCGATGAAGAGCCGAGCTGTTTCTTCGGCCGATATTGATTTCTTGCATGCTACGAATATGTGCCATTTTCGTCAGTCGATCGACGACGACCATGATCGTGTCGTTCCTACTCGCCCCGGCCGGTAACCCCGTGACGAAGTCCATCGTCACCTGCTGCCAAGCACGCCCGGGGGGTAGTCTCGGCTGCAATTGTCCCACCGGCCGCTTTCCTGATGATTTATGATCTGGCCACGTGTCGTTGTACGTCGGTCAACAATTCGGGCCAGTAATAGTACCGCTGCAACTACTGTGGTGTCTTTTCTACCACGAAGTGTCCTGAGGTAACGCCGTCGTGTGCCTCCTGTAGAAGCAGCTCCCTTAGTAAAGTGTAGCTTGGTACCGAGATGCGATCGGTGCCCGCTTTTACGTAATAAACCCCCTTTGCTGCTGCGAACTGCTAAGAATTTCCACCTGTGAAGAACGGGCCTGCTTGATAGCCATGGGTAAATAGAAGAGGGCCGGTAGAGGGCCGGTTTGGGCGAATAGTACGGCATGTATCTGAGCAGTTGGGCGGGTCAGTGCGTCGGCGATGTTCGATGCCCCCTTTTTGTAGGTGACCGTGTAATGAAAATTTGACTCGAGGAAATCGAGCCAGCGAATCTGTCATGGTTTGAGGTGGGGCTGTCGCGGCGAAGGTACTGTAGTGATTTGTGGTCTGTCCGTACTGTCACGTCTGCGCCGGTCAAGTAACAGCGCCAGACTTTGAACGCGTGCACAATCGCGAGCATTTTGCGGTCGTGTATCGGGTAATGCTTCTCGGGCGGGTGCAGTTTTTGTGACTCGTATGCGATAGGCTGTAGGTTGTTGCTGAAATCTTGTAACAGTACGGCTCCGATGGCGATGTCTCTTGCGTCTGTAATGACTTCGAATGGGCGGTGTGGGTCGGCGATGCCCAGTACGGGCGGTGAACAGAGAACAGTTTTCAGGGCAGAGAAGGCAGCATGCTCTTTCTCCCCCCACGTAAAAGTGACCCGCTTCCACAGTAAATCCGTC